ATCCCATGTGAAGAAAGCTTGAGGTGCAGCAAAAGAAGTATGGGATGGGATTGATTCCAACCACACTAACATAGACAAGATAAAGTGGGAGTCATGGATTGTATTAAAGGAGGGATGGTGGTGTTGGATTTCATCATGATGTTCCTCCCTCTTAGCCCTATAAATAGAGAAGTCTTCAAGCTACAAAATTCACTTCAGCCATCCTCCACACTTCCATCATTCCTTCAACATATCTAGAAATCATCCTCATACATTCCCACAACCCTAAACACTCCAGCAATCAACACAATACTCTAAACTGCCCCAAAATCACCAAAACAGCTCCAGAAAACCTCCCTTCCATTTCCCTACGAATTTCCTCTTTCTCAACCATCACCACTCACCCGAACTCATCCCAAATCACCTAATAGCTGTCATACATCATTCTAGACGTGGGGAAGCTCTTGGAGAAGCATTAGACGTGGAGAAGCACTTGAAGAAGTCTTGGACACCACAAGAACTTCAGAAAAGGGGTTTTTCTACTCTTATTGCATTCCTTATGTTTTCTCATTTCTATCTAAGTTTATTTTTCATTATGAGCAGCTAATTTCATGACTAGAGCTTCGATGTAACCTAACATGAATATTCTGGGTTTATAAGTTTGGAGTTTCAAGTTTGATTCATGATTCATGTTTTTATTCATTATGCGTATCAGTTAATATACTTGTTTGAATGATTGATCACCATTAGAACTTGTATGTTAGCTATCTTGGTTTGAATCAAGAGTAGACACCATGCTTTGATTCAAATTGAACTATGAATAGGAAGAGTATGTATGGACATTCGACAACAGGGATTAGATACATGCTTGGTTGTTTAAATTATTCTTCTAGGCTTAATGGGTTCCTAATACTTAATTTAGGTTAGACAACAAATGATCAAATCAGGGATTAGATACGTTAGCTATAATCAATCTTTGAATATGAATTAGACTTGTTACTTGACTCCTTATAACCCAGAATTGAATAGTTATAGTGATTCGAATGCCCTAGTCTCCAAATCTGTTTTTCAACTCTTAAAACCACTCTTTGTTACATTTGTTTACTTGTTTTTGTTTGCAATTTCATTTTGCTTCTTTTGTTCAACAATCACAACCACTCTTACTCTAAATTCTGTTTTAGATATAACCTCCTACTTTCTTGAATTTGGTAATCTAAGTACATAACTAGTTTTAACTTCTCAGTCTTCGTGGGTACGACCTCGTACTTGTCTTGCTATACTATTAATTGACCTGTACAATTGCGAGTTAACATAATATTAACAACAGTTCCAGTACCCCATTGACCAGCCAAGACACTAGAAAGACCTTCCAGGCCAATCCATCAACTAAGAACACCAGGTGTTAGATAAAAAATGTAATAAAGTAATTAAAATTTCACCCAACATAATCTCACTCTTATTTACAAATAAGAGTTTTTATTATTAATTGAGTATGACCCATTCAAGATGAAAATATCTCTTAATTATAATCTCTTTGGAAAGAGAAAACCCTTTGATTCCAATATGAAGAATGAAATAAATAATGGAACTTGATTTGATGTTATGGCTACATCCAGGAAACCCTAGACTGCCTACATACCCCCTATTGGGGATCAAGCCTTTTGTAGTTCACTGGAGAATTTGATTGGACTTTCAAGGAATGAATGACCCCTTTGAAAGAATTTGTAGTGTGAGAAATATTTTGTGGAATTTATATGAATGTGGTTGGACCAGGGATTCAATTTCATTTTTGTGGTTGGAAAAGTGTTTGGGGTGAATTTGGTTAAGGTAAACCAGGGATTCTGTTTGGGCTTGCGGTTGTATTTGGATTGAATTTCCAAATTGCCTACGTATCCTTGGTGGAATCAAACCGAACGTAGTTCAGAAAATTTGATTGGACTTTCAAGGAATGAATGACTCCTTGAAAGAATTTGTGGTGTGAGAAATTTGAATTTGATCTCATTAAAATTTGCGTGGGTGGATGACCCATGAGAAAATTTGGAATGGTTTTGTACCATTTGGGTTTTGGCGTGGTTTTGTACCATTTGAGAAATTTGGGATTTTCGTATCAATTATTTGCTAATTGATACATTTTTATTTTGAAGGGAATTTTGGACGGACCAATTTTGATTTGAGGAAAAGGTCCATCAAATTTTATTTGATGGTTATACCAATTATTTGTTAACTGGTATTTTCTAGCACTTGAGAATTGTCAATGGTTGGCTCCGTTAAACATGTGGGAGTTGTTATACTGTTTAAACACTTGAATTTGGAAGATGAACCACTTGCCCTTCATCCTTCTTTGACAATTTTTTTGGGGGAATTGCCCTTGTCCCACTGATTAAGCATTATTTTATTTTATGCTTCCCAGATAGATCAAATTGGCGTTTCAGGAGTTAAGACTTCTTCTTGGATATTTGGCTAGGAACATGCGAGTCTCTGCATGTCCAGCAAAACCAATTGGTTGGGCTTTGGGTTTGCTATTATCACATCTTCACCAAACAACAAACTCTCCACCCCACTTTCTTCCTTTACATTTTTACTAAGCAACAGCAGTGCATTCTTTCTTTGATTTGTGACTGGAGCTTTTGCTGGGGCAAAGTCCCATTTAGCTTGGCCTGCAGGACACCAGAGAAAGGCTTGCCCACTTGTGTCTTCATTTTATTCTTTATTTGTTAAAGACTCCAAGGCTCCAGGGAAATTGAGGGGTTCAAATTAATTCTCTTGTGCTTGACTTGGAGAAGTTTTGGTCTGACAAGAAAACAGTTTTCTTTTTGTACAGAAACCTCTTGAATATCTTTGTCTTTCTATTTGTTACTCAAAAGCACTGCATTATTTTCATCGAGTATGTCTATAAACACCTGCAAGGTGCTCATAGCACTTAATACAGTGGAGTTCTTGCAGAAGCCCATCTGAATATTTTCACAGAAAAGAGATCCTTGCTTGCGAGAGCTCTCTTTGTGTAAGTTGTGCTGCCATCACCAATTTGGAAGGATTAATACAGTGGAGTTCTTGCAGAAGTCCTCTGTATATTTTCACAGAAAAGAGGTCCTTGCGAGAGGTCTTTCTATGCAATGTTGCAGTGACACCACCATTTTATGTTTGGGAGGGATCTAATCCTTTCCCTTGCAATTTCTTGAGATCTCTGTGACAAATTGACAGCAAGGGCATGGAGGAATTTCGCACTGCACATTCTCAAAGCCTTGACTTGCTGCTGTCTTGACGTCATTATGGTGGCTGCAATTGTTGACAACCAAAGCTCTTTTTGCTCGCAAGTTAAATTAACAACAAAGAGCACAGAACCTACAAATATATTGATACCTTGCCAATGATGCTTTTGATTTGCTTTTCTGGTAACCTTTGGAGCACTTAGTTCCTTCTTTTATTTTCTGGCGTTTTAGAATTTCAGCAACCTGACTCTTTCTTCTTTGCAGCACTTTGGATTTTCTCCTTTTGCTTCTTGCCTTCAATTTCTGCAGCCCTTCGTTCCTCCTTCAGATTTCTCGCCTCTGCTTTTTTTTCCCCCCCTTTGCCTCTGTACGTTCATGACTTTTATAGGCAAAAGATCAATAGCAGTTGGGGAAGCACGTTTGCTAAGTAAGCGGCCTCTGTGCTGAATGGATTTGCAGAGGATAAACACGATCTCTTCCCACCTTTTATTTTTTTATTTGTTTTATTGAAAACTGACCTTAAGGGACAATCAGCAGCCTTAAAGATCAACCTTCATGTCTTGGGCTTTTATCCTGGGCCCCTTTCCTTATCATGTAATTTTTTGTGTTCAACACCAGGGGTTAGAGGTCTGGAAGCCACCAATAACGAAATGCATGATAGGAGCCAACCTGACATGTTCATACACAAGGCAAATTCAGCAACCCAAGGAATCAAACAGCATTGCATGACAAATCAAATAAGCAGCTTGATGGAACAGAGAATAATGCCTAATGTTGTAACTAATAATTTAGTATTAGTTCAATATTTCCGTTACACAAGTGTAGAGGGCACTCTCAAGGAGGAATTTTCATACAGTGATGTAATTGGGATCTTTAAAGAGTATTATATGCAATTGAACTGATGCTTCTCTAAGAGGAAAATTCAGAACATGGAACAATAGTTTTTCACCTTAAAAAAAACAACTAGTACGGAGTTTCTGTTAGCTTACATTCCTACCAACTACATTGTTACAATTTGCAATCTCTTCAATCTCAAAAGTTCTATGAGACCAATATTAGACTAATGAAGATGAAAAATGACCAAGAATTAGTCTAGAACTAGTATGTATGTCCAAACCTTCCATTTAGGCAATCAAGCAGAGTTCAAAACTTATTTATAAATGTGAATTAAAGCCAAATCATTTCACCCCACACTAATGACAAGGCTAGCCTAACGGATCTATTGTTAGATCCATATAGTCTTAATAAATCAATAGATACAGAAACTGAACTTCGCATGAGAAGAATCTGATCTAGAAAATTGAAATAACGGATCTAGAAAATTGAAATAAGAATTTGATGTAGAAAACACATACCTCACCAGATGAAAAACAGAGCTTCGCGTGAGAAGAAGGAAGATGAGAGAGAGGGTGTCGTTGTCGATGGAGCAAATAAGGAAGAGGAGAGAGAGCGGGTGTTGTCATCATTGATTGAGTGAAGAAGGAAGAGGAGAAAGAGAGGGCATCGTATCGTCGATGGAGAGAAGTGGGAAGATGAGAGAGAGGGCGTCGTCATTGATGGAGTGAATAAGGAAGAGGAGAGAGAGAGAGAGACTGAGATCTGGTTTTAAACAAAAGGGTAAAATTGTATTTTTACCTTTATAATTTAAACAGCCCAACGAATCTAGGCCTCTGCCTAATCCAAAATAACAATCTTTCCTAGGTATTAAAACCCAAACAAAAATGCCCAATGTCTCAAATACTAATTAGTAAAGTTAATTATGTCTAATATCTATTTTTTTTTACTAATTATGTCTAATACCTAATTTTTCTTATAATAAAATACATGTTGTTCTTGTACTATTGAAAATAACTAAAAATACTTTTACCAAAAAAAAATAACTAAAAATATTTAAATTTTGATATAATTGCCAAATTTGTTATCGTATATTTTTTAAATATCTACAGAATAATACGCATCGTTCCAACAAAAAAAAATTCACATCGCATATTTTATCTGTTACGTATTTGATTGTCACCCATCAAAAGGAAAAAACGGTGTTTGATCTTCCTCGAAACACACGTGTCCTCCAACGATCAGGATTGAGAATTTGACAGCATTGATTGCGGTTGCATGGTCAAGACACATCGCATATTTTATCTGTTACGTATTTGATTGTCACCCATCATGGTGTTTGATCTTCCTCGAAACACACGTGTCCTCCAACGATCAGGATTGACAATTTGACAGCATTGATTGCGGTTGCACGCAAAGCTCGCAGATGACGAGCTCGCCCAATTCAAATGTGAAACTGTAAAAAGCCCTCCTCGGCTAGTTGTAGAAGGCCCCCGACACACCCAGAATAAACGAAACCCGGTCAAAGTAATGGCGCCAAAGGCAACCAGAAATCAAAGTCCACCGTCCGATCCTCAGGGAATGTTCGCTGGATTGGTCGTCTTCTTAGTCGAAAAACGAGTTCAGAGCCGTCGTTTACAGGTAAAACACTCATAGCTTCTCGACTCCATGGCCCATGCGTTTTTATTGTAGCTTCTTCTTTATATTTTGAGCATTGGTGCCTAAGTTTTCAGATTTGGAAGCAAAAATTGGTCCAAATGGGGGCTAGAATCGAAGACAGCCTAACCAAAAGGGTCACTCATATACTTGCTATGGACCCAGAAGCCCTCTTACAACAACTGGGTAGTGAGCGCTTGGCTCACTTTAAAGGAGTGAGTTTTCATTCACCATTTCATTTTCTTTAAGGCTTTGATTAATTGAATAAGATTCAATTCAGTGTTAGAATGGACTATAATCTTCCAAGTTTCAAACTTGTGGTGGTTTGCAGACAGTTGTAGTTTATCAGTGGCTGGAGGATAGTTTGAGCTCAGGAGAGAAGGTATCTGAGGATATGTACCATCTAAAATTGGAAGCAGACAAGTCCTCCAATGATTACATTTCTAGCGATGATGAACTACCAAAACCCAAAAAGACAAGATCATCTTCTCCAGATGACTTGGCTCACACTTCAATACCCAAAACCCCTGAATCTCCAAATAAGGATCAGGTCACTGCATTGCAATCGGCTGTGCCCTACAGCCCACCTGACTTGAATAAGAACATAACCCAGATATTCGGCAAACTTATCAATATTTATAGAGGTGGGATTTCTTTAACATCTGTTTGTTCACTTTGCACTTTTGATTTCCAGAATTCTGATGTTTGGTGGTAATCTTGTGCGTTTCAATTAAAGCATTGGGTGATGACCGAAGATCATTTAGCTATTACAAGGCTATACCAGTTATAGAGAAGTTGCCTTTCAAGATTCAAAGTGTGGACCAAGTTAAAAACCTACCCAACATTGGAAAGTCTATGCAAGATCATGTAAGAGACACATGCCTAAGTTTAAATTTTGTATTGGGAGGATTCTGTTCTGATATGGGTTTGTATATAGAGGAGGATTTGCTAGTTCTCTGAATATGTTTTGTGTCAAGTACATGTTACTAGGTGCACTTTGTGAAGCCACAAGCCTTATGATATTATTCTTACTATTTATCAGTGTTTTGAAATTTAGTATGGTCTATGCTTCCATCATGAAAGGATAGTCGATTAGGAATTGTTTTCAGTTACTTAAACTATAATTAGATATCAGTCAGCTACGTGAGAGATTATATTTCATTTGGAGCTTCCTATTCTGAAAGTTTGCTTATTCCTCTCTGTGAGGAATGGTGAATTCTTCCTACTTTGTCCACCTGATAACAGAAGCTTTTGATCTGTGATTGCAGATTCATGAGATCGTGACTACTGGGAAGTTATCCAAGTTGGAGCACTTTGAAACAGATGAAAAGGTGTTGGAAAGGTTCTCAGTAAATCTATGGTTTCAGTATTCTGCTGCTAATTTGAAATTTGAATTCTTCTTTTTGTTAAACTCATGCTCCAGTAGTTGTTTCCTTTTTTTAAAGTGTAAAGACACTGATTCACTTATGATTTATGTTTGTGTGTGCAAGGGGAATGCACTATTTTATCAAATTCTAAGGCTATAACTTCATATCTTTATTGTTTGACGGTTCTGGTTTCTTCATTTGGTTAATGAATTGCAGGTACGAACAATCGCCTTATTTGAGGAAATTTGGGGTGTTGGTCCAGCTACTGCACTGAAATTATATGAGAAAGGACACCGCACATTAGATGATTTGAAGAATGAAGATTCATTAACAAATTCGCAAAAGTTGGGGTTAAGATATTATGATGATATCAAACAGAGGATCCCACGCCATGAGGTCTAATTATAATATTTGTTTTCCCGATTTCTATGCTAACCTGATTCCTTTGCATCTACTTACCCACAACAAACTGGTTTTTTTTAAAATTCAATAGGCTGAAGAGATGGAACATCTTCTACAGAAAGTCGGAGAGAATGTTTTGCCTGGGGTGAGCATATAATAATGTTTGAACTAACTGCCATGTGAGGCAAAAAAGAACTGGTGTATTTAGGGGAAATGTGCTTAACTTGGGTTTGCATGTTCACACTGGCATGGCACTACTACTATATACTGGATTTAATTGAGCCAAATTGAACGCATGCTTTTTCTAATTCCTTGTTTAAGTATGACCTTTTAGAGGAATGAATGTGGATCAATGTAACATTCAGTGACCCATTCTTTAAAAGAATTAGTCTTGCTCTTCTCTTCTAGTGTGTAGCTTGATATTTGTATGTGGTATCTACCTGTAGGTGGTCATTGTATGTGGTGGATCATATAGACGCGGGAAAGCTTCTTGTGGGGATCTAGACATTGTAATTACACATCCTGATGGAACGAGGTATGAAGCCATTGTTTCTCATCCCTTTTTGAAAAAAACTAAAAAATACATGTATTCTGGAATAATGATGTATACCAGCTAAAGGGAGCTCTCATTATATCCTGGGCTCAATTTGGTTAGATGCTACTTAATTTTCCTGTAATTTTCCTTGTGGATAGCTTGCATTTTTCTTTTTTATCCATGTTTTTCATCATTGTCTCAGATCCCATTATTTGATACTACTACTATAGTTGTGTTCTTGCTATTTACCAGTAAAATTCCTACTGGTTTTAGTTTTGAAAGGATTACTTACTTTGGTCTGTGTTTTCAGTCATAAAGGTTTTCTACCAAAATATGTAAAGCAGTTAAAGGATATGAAGTTCCTACGAGAGGATTTGATTTTCAGTACGCATAGTGAGGAGGTAACGTGATATATATGTATAAAAAAAAAAATTTCTCTGTTTTAGCATACATATATATTTTTTTCTCTGTTTTAGCCATTTCTTCTCATGATTTTTGTAGTTTACATATGTCAGTGTTACACACATGCTGTCATAAATTGAACTCAGGTTTTCGTTAACTAGTTGAGTGGTGATAATTTTAAGACGCATTTGGTTTGTGTCAAGTTAGAATGCTGCAAAATGTATTACACACTCGTTGAACATTAGAGTCATCTGACTTCTTAAAATATCTTTTAATGTTCTCTTAATATTTTTCTTGTTTATGATGCTATGATATTATTATTCACTTGCCATGACATAAATTTGCTTGCATTAAGTTCTTTTTCAATAACATGAGCAGGGTACTGATTCTGGCGTTGACACATATTTCGGACTTTGCACATATCCAGGAAGAGAGTTGCGACATCGCATAGATCTTAAGGTTTTTGGTGATCTCTCTATCATTTTTTATTATATCAGACAAAGTTAGCAGAAAGTCTTTATTTTTTGATTTTTCATTTCATACTTGTGTAGTTTGTCCCTCCTCCCAGGCAGGGACACTATGGCCTGCTTTTTGTGATTGTTTATGGGAGAGTCACATTAATATATAGGATCAATTTTCTGATATATTCTAATGTCTTTGGTTTGTTTTTATAGGTTTACCCATTGGAGATATATGCATTTGGACTAATAGCTTGGACAGGGAATGATGTATTGAATAGGAGGTTCGTTTTCTTTATTGACTTCTATACTATGTTAGGCATAGTATCATATTTTTGAAGCATCCTCTCAATTTAGAGGGAAAAAGCAAGGCTCTTAATTTCTCAGTCTTGTAGTTTCTATAAACATCATGACTCGATGATCCGTGTTACTTGAACATTCTCCATATCTACTTTTTCCCTCATACCAATTAGAATCTGTACATAGTTATCATTCACTTCTTTACTTTCTGATATGCTATTGGGGTAAAGTGTTATTCACCCAAATGCTAAGTCGAAAAGTTTGTAAAATTTTATCTATTTTGTTCCTATTGTTGGTGAGAAATTCAATACACCATCTTTAAGTTTGTCACAATCTAAATGCAGGTTGAGATTACTAGCTGAATCTAAAGGATTCCGGCTTGATGATACGGGGCTGTTTCCAGCTACTCATGGCTCTTCCGGCAGTAAACGGGTAATGGCTTGTTGGTTTTTGTACCTTTTCCCCCACTTTGTATCTCTTCATGGTTCACTGAATGCATGCTTGTATCTTTTATGTTACAGGGGGTGAGAGCTAGCGCAAGCTTGAAATTTGACACAGAAAAGGAGGTGTTTGATTTCCTTGGGTTTCCTTGGCTTGAACCACATGAGAGAAATCTGTGACGTGTGAATGTTTTGTATGAGTAATGTGTACATGTGAACTAACAAACTCGGCCTTGTAAGGGAAACACACTTCAGTTCCAATTTTGCAGACAAGGAGAGGGAGGGAAAGTCTTGTTCACATACAAACCCTTGCAATTTTTTTACGAATTCAAATGTATATTACTTTAGTACACTCTGTCACAATTCTTCTCAACCTTGAATTTAACTTCATATCGCCACCAAAAAAAAAATAAAAACCCTTGATTTTAACTTTTTTCCTTATTATTACAACTTGACGATTTGCCCTGAGTCTGTCGAATGATATTGTTATGATTATATTTCGACAAAAAAAAAAGGATATTGTTATGATTATCTTCAATTAATCCGAAGAACTATTTAAATACAGTGTAATGATCCGAATGATGAGCTTCTCATTTTTTTAGGGACACAAATCACAACTGCTAGATGAAAAAAAAAAAAATCAAATGGGACATAAAAATGAAAATTACTGTTAAAATTCAATAAAATGCGAAAATAAAAAAAGTTCAGAGTCTACAATTTTTGCTATCGTTCGCATTGGCACGATATGGATAATGGATAATACATTCTCTTGTCCTAAATTGTGAAAATGGCAGGTCTCTCCTCCCTGGGGCAGGGGTGAAATTGTAATATCAGAATAGTGAGGCTATCAGCCTTATAATAAAATCCCATAATTCCAAGAGCAGACATTGTTAAGATTTTGAGGAGGTTTTAGATAAGAGAAGGAAAGAGATGAGCTGGAGTAGTGTAGCTCCGCTTCTATCTGTAACTCCTTCAAAACTTGACTCATCCTCTTCCTTCCTGCCTTCTTCTTCCTCTTCGGTTTCAAGTGTTAGGGTTTCATTAAGCTTGTCATGGAGATTTAGACCAACTAGTATCAGATACGTTTCTTCACCTTCGTCATCTTTGTCGTTAAGAAAGCAAATATGCAGAGCAGCAGCAGAATACAAATTTCCGGACCCAATTCCTGAATTTGCTGATGAGGTGAGTCTCTTACAACTCACCATCTTTTCCTTCTCTAAAAAGAATTGATTTTTATTCGATTTATGGTTTTTTGGGGGTCCAGGAGACAGAAAAGTTTAGGACCCATCTCCTGAATAAGCTTTCCAAGAAAGATTTGTATGAAGACTCTGTTGAAGAGGTCGTTGGGATCTGCACTGAGGTACTGAGTTAACTTCCATTGTAATTGTATGCCTCATTTTGTAATTGTAAGAGAGAGACTGGAGCTTAAAACGACTTTGCCTGCTTAACACCAAATATTTTGCTTAGGCTGTTTAAAGTTTATCAGTTTATGTTTTGGAATTTACTCAGGGCAAGCGACTAAGTAGCTTGGAGAACAAAAAATCCTTGCTTGAATTAAGTTTGGCATTGTATATCCATAAACTTGATATTTCTTTTGTAATGACAAATTTGCGTTGGGAGTTCTCAATCGTTGCCAGATATGTTGGTAATCATAATGTTCTTCACATTGCATCATTGTCTAGCACGTTCTTTGCCGTTATATTCGGCCTACAATAGTGTACAATTTTATCAATGATTCCTTATTTTCCTATTTGAAGCTGTTCATAGAAATGCTTCTGCACTGAAATGTTGTCATTTCAGAGCTTCTACTTTCAAAGCCACTTCTTTTGTGTATGGATTTGGATACTTTGTGTTATATACCGTCTCATTGGGGATAAGATTCTTGTTGATTTGAATGGAAGTATATGGGCACTAAACTGTTTTCCCTAATGATTCTTTGCCACAGATATTCAGTACTTTCTTGCACACCGAGTATGGTGGTCCTGGGACACTCTTGGTAGTTCCTTTCATTGATATGGCTGATACTCTGAATGAGCATGGATTACCTGGTGGACAGCAAGCTGCGCGTGCAGCAATCAAATGGGCACAAAATCATGTTGACAAGGACTGGAATGAATGGACTGGTGACGAAAATTAACAGAAAGCTCATGTTCTGCAAGATTGTTTCTCTGTAGTTTGCTAGTGTAAGCATAGGTTATATATAGAGTTAGCCAAGCAGTTCTGATTCCTGTTATGCTTGTAAAACTGATGACGAAGGAAAAATTCGAAAGTCAATTAGTTGCCCTTTGTTGTAATGTTATGCTGTGAAAATGTACTCCTGGGTCCTGGGGAATGGGAGTGTCTACTTGAAGGCTTTTGGTCCAAGCATCAATGAAAAGCTGTTCTTTCTGCCTTAAAAGCTGTTCTTTCTGACTTAAGATCGCATCTTCTGCTTCTTGTCTTTGAGTTTTATCTTTGTCCAATAGTCAAAGTACTCAGTGTTGCAAATTTGGCGACTAAGTTTTCTCATTGTTGGTCTTCTATGTAAATATCATACTGACCACCCTGGGATCCAGTCATGAGGGAATATCATTCAAATTCTGCGTTCTTGTTTTGAATCAATTTTCTTAAACCCAAAGGCTTAATCCGATTTCATGGAAATTGTCCAATTTTGGTATCTGACCCTAACCTTGGCGTGCAAGGGGATGGAATGCTACTGCTCAGTAAAACACATTCGTGGTGAGGCTGGATAGCTTCATAATATAAATATAAAGATTAAAGACAGGCCATGAGACCTCCAAAGGACAAAAAGGAAAGGAAAGAAGGATATTGAAAGATGGTTTTAAAGTCTTACAGAATAGACACCAATTTGATTTAGGTTGGTTTCTGAAATAAACAAGTTGAATTTTGAACCACCCAATCAATGTATCAAACATCCCATGAGGTTTTCGAATGCAATCTATAGAAACTCGTATAGGACAAGACAAATGCAAGGTGTTGAAAGTTAATTGCAACGAAAGTCCCACATCGACTAGGGGAGTTGCACAACCTACCACAGAGCTACTACATTATGCTTCTTGAGCTGACGCCGAAAAGGCACGGAGCCGTGCGGTGAGCACAAAGCGAACTATTCTTTCGCCTTTTACTAAAGAATACCGTGTGCTCGCCGCTAATACTGGCATACGCCTATTTTTTCAAGGGTGCATCATTCTTGTGGTGCCCTACAAGAACAGTCTAATCTTGTAATTGAAATGTTATAACTTTAATGCGATCAAAATTGCTTCGAGCCTTTTTCATATTCTTATGTCATAGTTTTTCAAGTGAAAATCTATCTTCTAGTTGTAGAAGTGCTTTATCAATCAACACGAAATTAAGTACATCTCGGAGTGAAGAAGCTTATAGACATTGTAAGTCAAATAATTGGTTTTATATGAGAAGCAGTGAGCAACATTTTAACTAATATTCCTGCCTTTTTGAAATCAGCTTTTGAGTGCTACAAAAAATATAGTCGCACTCTGGTGGTCCCTTTTTTTTTTGGTTGACAACCAACTGCAAGGAAGTCCCTTCCTCTCCTCATCTCCCCTTCTTTTTCTCCCATCTTTTCCCTTCCTCTTATCCCCTCTTCTCCTCCTCCCATCTCTAGATAGTCTAGATATGTTTGTCTATTTGTTTTGTTTGATTGTTTTTGCAGTGTTCTAGGTGGCTAGTGTTGTCTTTGTCTCAACGGAGGCTACAATAGTGATGCTAAATTGTGTCTCTCCTCGGGAGAGTTGTGATACCTGGTGGCTGATGTTTTGTCTTTGTTTCAACAGTGGCGGCAGCAGCGACACTGGTGGTAGTTGTTGGGATGTAGTGCTATTCTCTACTCTACACCGACCAAATAACTATTTTTGGTCATAGGAGGTTTTCTTTGTTCGGTTATGAGTTGAAGTGGAGTGCTTCTTAGGGGTCCTTTTATCGTTGTTTATGTGGTGACACTGGATTGTGTCTCTCCTCAGGAGAGTTGTGATATCTGGTGGCTGATGTTTTGTCTCTGTTTCAACGATAGCGGTAGCAGTGACGCTAGTGGTAGTTGTTGGGATGTGGTGCTCTTCTCTACTCTGCACCGATCAAAGAATTATACTTGGTCATATGAGGTTTTCTTTGTCTGGTTCTGAGTTGAAGTGGAGTGCTTCTCAGGGGTCCTTTTACTGTTGTTTATATGTTCCTCCTGCATATTCTCTCCTGGTTTCTGCTATAATATGTCTTGCAGTTTGTGTGGATGTCAAAGAACTATGATTTTGCTCATAGAAGGCTTCTTTTGACCGTTGGAATGTTCTGCGGTCCTCTTATGTGGGTTTACTGTGTTGGTCTATAGTTGCAATTCTCATTGGAGGTCTATGTGTGAGTTTTCATTTTTTATTTGTTCTTTTATTGTAATGGTCCAAAGTGACTTGAATCTGACTCTCTTATTAGTCCATGACATATGTGGTACTTTTTCCTCTCCTGGGGTTTATCCCATGAGGTTGTCCTAGGAAGGTTTTAACGAGGCCACTGTATCATGGCGTTCTTTGTACGTCTTTGGTTCTATGAATGAATTCTCTTTCTTAAAAAAAAATATTAAAAAAAAACTATCATCATAGACGTAGAGAAAGTTTCAACACACCACCTGATTCACCCATATATATATTATTTCAAAATTTATATAGTTTTTCTTCGATTATCTGTGAGAAAAGTGATGGTCGTTACGAAATACAGAGGAAAGGTTTCCAAATGAAAATGCTCTTAAAGTCCGATTAGGTAGGAAGTGAAGATAGGGATGGTTTAACAAAGTCCCACATCGGAAAGAACGACAAGCCAACGACTGAGAAGCTAATATATTAAGCAGCTTGAGGTTCGAGTAGAAATTACGGAGCCGTGCAGTGAGCACAAAGCGAACTATTCTTTCGCCTTTTACTAAAGAATACCGTGTGAGCACTGCGATTAGCGGCATACGCCCATTTTTGGAGGACTTGGCCGTTATTGGCTGAGCCCTATAATTCAAGTTCTAAAATTGTAGTTTGAACGAGCAACAGCAATTTACGTCATTCTCTGTCCATGCACTGTGTAGGCAACCTAATGCGTGTTTCTGTCAAATTCGAAAAGTATCTACCAATGATATTTATACTATCTTAACTCTGTCTTAACGAGAGAAAAATAGGATATAGTGAGGCTGGAAAACGAAAGAAAATTAGACCAATTGAGACATTGTCTCTCAGTTTTTTTTTTTTTTTTAAAAAAAATACATACCGGATTCAAATCAGCAAGAACTTGAATAAATGGACTAATGTAGACAGTAGTTAAGATAAATTTCCAAGGAGTGAAATATCTACTTTGTTTGGTTCATTTTGAATCAGTGTACTGCGAACTTGTAGTGTTGTATGAAAATGGCTTCGAGACTGTTGCATCTTCTTCCGTGAAAACCAGAAATGGCTCTGTGCCAAGTCTACCAATTTGTCAAAGGGAAAGAATGTGAAGTTTGTTTTTGAAGTGAAAATCATGTAATCTTTCAAACCATTTGTAGTGGTGGTAGAAGGGCTTTATCAATCAACATGGAATTCATGGTTCATAGTATGTACTGAAATATTGATATTGCCAAGAATTTGAATCGATTAACGAAGATTTTGAGGGAATAAGTTCATCTCGAGTGAAGTACAGACATTCCACAAGTTTCTGCTCGATTATCTAAGAGAAAGGTAATGGCCTAATAGGCATGGAAGTGAAGATGAGAATGATGTACAAAAATCCCACATCAAAAAGAAGGGCAAACCAACAACTCAGAAGCTAATATATTAAGCAGCTTGAGCTTCACTTAGAAACCACGGAGCCGTGCAGTGGGCACAAAGCGAACTATTCTTTCGCCTTTTACTAAAGAATACCGTGTGAGCACTGCGATTAGCGGCATACGCCCATTTTTGGAGGTCTTGGCCATTATTGGCCGAGCCCTATAATTCAAGTTCTAAAATTGTAGTTTGAACGAGCAATAGCAATTTACGTCATTCTCTGTCCATGCACTGTGTAGGCAACCTAATGCGTGATTCTGTCAAATTCGAAAAGTATCTCTCTACCAATGATATTTTATACTATCTTAACTCTTGTCTTAACGAGAGAAAAATAGGATATAGTTGTCTTTCAGTTTTTTTTATTAAAAAAAAAATACATACCGGATTCAAATCAGCAAGAACTTGAATAAATGGACTAATGTAGACAGTAGTTAAGATAAATTTCCAAGGAGTGAAATATCTACTTTGTTTGGTTCATTTTGAATCAGTGTACTGCGAACTTGTAGTGTTGTATGAAAATGGCTTCGAGACTGTTGCATCTTCTTCCGTGAAAACCAGAAATGGCTCTGTGCCAAGTCTACCAATTTGTCAAAGGGAAAGAATGTGAAGTTTGTTTTTGAAGTGAAAATCATGTAATCTTTCAAACCATTTGTAGTGGTGGTAGAAGGGCTTTATCAATCAACATGGAATTCATGGTTCATAGTATGTACTGAAATATTGATATTGCCAAGAATTTGAATCGATTAACGAAGATTTTGAGGGAATAAGTTCATCTCGAGTGAAGTACAGACATTCCACAAGTTTCTGCTCGATTATCTAAGAGAAAGGTAATGGCCTAATAGGCATGGAAGTGAAGATGAGAATGATGTACAAAAATCCCACATCAAAAAGAAGGGCAAACCAACAACTCAGAAGCTAATATATTAAGCAGCTTGAGCTTCACTTAGAAACCACGGAGCCGTGCAGTGGGCACAGAGCGAACTATTCTTTCGCCTTTTACTAAAGAATACCGTGTGCTCGCTGCAATTAGCGGCATACGCCCATTTTTGGAGGACTTAGTCATCTTTGGCTGAGCCCTATAATTCAAGTTCCAAGGTTGATAATGTGAACGAGCAAGAACGTTCCATGGCATTCTCTTTGCCTTGCATTCTGTGTAATGGGTGATTCAGTTTTAATTCGATAGCTTCTTCTATGATATTCAAGGTTCGTTAATGAAATAGGATATAGTGAGGCTGGAAAAGGTAAAAGGTTTCCTGCGGGTATTTTTATTACGGATTTTAATCAGCAAGAACTTGAATGAATGGACTAATGGAGACAGTTGTTGAGAGAAGTTTCAAAGGAGAAATATGAACCTGGTCTGGTTCATTTTGAATCAGTGTTTAACTCACCTTTCAATACTTTCTATGACCTGAATGGACTAACGAAGACAGTTGTTGGGCATAAAATGTATTTTTTATTCCTTTCAAGGAGAAAAAGTTGAGAACTATGCTTCTGAAGTCCAGCTGGCGGGATGATGGAAACCTTAAATCCCACATCGCCGGAGAAAGACAAAACTAGCATCGAAGAGCAAGTATATATGCGTACTGAGCCCTCACTTGTAAACCACGGAGCCCTGCGGTGAGCACAAAGCGAACTATTCTTTCGCCTTTTACTAAAGAATACCGTGTGCGCGCCGCATATTGGGGCATACGCCTATTTTTGGAGGGCTCCTCATTCTTTGTTGAGCCCTATAACACCAGTAGAAGCGTTTTTTGTTTGCATATGCTTTTTCTGTTAAAACGTTCGAGGCTTTCTTATGGACTCTGCCCAAACCAAGATTTTTATCTAGCTTATAAACGATCAGAATGCAGAAATGCCACACCTCAAAGCTGCAATCTATGACTGAACTGTTGTAATCAAAATAGCCACATTGTATACAGAATGATATATTTTATTTCATTTCTTTACATCAACCATATAACCAAAACTTAGGTGATGATAGCTAGCTCTATGGGAGCTAATTAAAAATCTGGTCGAGCTCGATACATTATCTCTTCCCTATCAATGAAACGCTCCAGCAACTCTTTCTCTTGCAAGACTAAGCAATCTTCAGATTTGCCGAAGAAGTCATAGCGCCGTTTGGCAACATAATCATAGACAATCTCTCTCAGAGGAGTTGGGATGACCATGAATGCGCTTAAAGCAGAGTAAGGGAGAGGCAAGTATGACAATACTTTCAGTGCAGCTGCAGAAACATATAAACTGAGGAATTTAGACCACATTTTCAAAAGCTTACAAGCGAAAAATATGAGATGCAGGCTAAAAGGAAAAGCATTTGCAACTGACATGATTTGCATTCATACATTCATATGCATAAAAATCTGCCCAAAATCTATTAGTTTATCATGATTAAAGTCTTGTTCACTCGAAGCCAAGAGCCAAAAGTTTCTCTCAAACAACAAAGTTTAGAACTGGAACTACGCACAGAATAATGAGTCAAGTTTGAAACTAAGTTTCTTGCTACGATTTTTATCAGAAAAAGAAAGAAGAATCCCTAGAATCTTAAAGACATCCATCCTGAGGAACCTAATGGTATCAACCTTCAGAAATGGTGTGGACGTAAGGTTCAAAAGTTTTCCTCTGCGTTTTCAATTATTATGGCCAAAGAAAGTCTACTAAAGGGAAACTAAAACCGAGTTCCTTTGATTTGGAAAGATGGGCTATGGAATGGTTGCAGTAAGACTATTACTTTTACAAGGATCAAGGATGTCTACCTAACCCCAAACCCAAACCCAAATATCTGGGAAGTTACTTAGTTCATTCCTGTTTTAATCATAGCTGTAAAACAAAAATCCAACATGTTTATTATAAAGCGCATGCAAAGAGCCATGACTAACAGATCTAAATTCAAAGTGTATAAATTGTGTCCTTTGATTTGGAAAGATGGGCTTTTCTAATCTTGTGTCTGTCTCTCTCATATACAATTTTCATTTTCCCTCAAAGTTTTCATAATTGGTTTTATTTACCGAACAGCATTGACAGAATTATGGGTGCAAATAAAACAGGGTTAGTTTACAAAAGCAAAATATCAAAATCCCCATGTACAATCCAGAATCAAACACTGAAAGAATGTGGAATGTCTAGTATGGGTTATAGTCTTTACTCAGATTTTGCAATTTCATTCAATATTATTCCTTGTCACACCATACTAAGAAAACCAACCCTTCTGCGCTTCCTATCTAGGAGATGTCTAAAACAGAAGAGTTACAGATAGTCCCACATTATTATTAGTACCCATTTTTAGTTTTGTTACTTTACTAAGACTGGTAACTAAGCAATGAATTAATTTTTCAAACAAGGGCAAGCCCATGAATAAAGATGTGAACTTGAGGTGAGTGTCATGAGAATACATAGAAACCCAAAACCAACCTCAATGCAAAGTACTAGTAACAGGCAAATCCATCATCTAAAGCATACGAATTGCAAAGTTGAAGAATGGTGAGAGGTACTAACCCGTAGAGCCTTGATGGTATAGCCCCGGGCCTTCAACAAACAAAAAGCGACGAAGAACATCCTCTCGATCAAGACCACACAATCTCAAATAAGGCTCAGCAGTCTCCGATTGAAGGCAACAGAATTTGATCTTCCTGTACTTGTCTGCTTTAATCACCCACTTCACCCCTGTTTATCAGTTTTTCGGGGAGAGAAGGAAAGAAAGAAAACCACTTTAGACAGAACAGAACCCATCTGACAAATTGGACCGAAATGAAAACCTAGAAATTCAGAGCCCAAAATACACAAGAAAAGGGTGAAGAGAAAAAGGGATTTCTGAAACCTCCATGGCAGAGATGGCAGACCCCATCGTAGACCACAACGCGTGGCTGAAGAAGAGTGGGTATCACGGGCTTAACCCCCGACGTAGCAGTTGGGTTAGAGTAGATGGGTACATCATCTTCTTCTTCATCACCAAGATCAACAGCATCAGCAGCAGTGCTCGAAACGACGTCGGACGAAGACGGTGATGATGATGATGTGGAAGAAAATACACATTTTAATGGAAAAGATGAAGAAGCAAGTGAGGGTCTTGTCGTTGTTAGTTTTGGCAGCAATCTCATTAACCTTGTCACCGTCATCTTTAGCAGTACCGCCGACTAGCAACCGCTGTATTTCAAGAGTTATATTTTCCAACTCAACTTAAGAAAGTTTAATGGGATCGCATCATTTAAACAATTGCCTTTTGCTTGGTTTCCAAGTATTCGGCTTTTAAAACTTCAAATGAATTTTAATTTGATTGTTTCAAGTAAAAAGTTTTAATTTCATTGTTTTTTTCGCCACTTGTTTGTATAATTCTATTGATGAAATTTATCACCATTGAACCTAATGTGTGGCATTGAGATAGTATCAAATTCAATCGAATTTGCGAGAAACAATTTAGACATCAAATTATGACAATTAAATGGTAAGAAAATCACATTGTATATGCTTTATCGCTTCATTTTTATCATTGTATACACAGTAAGTTACAACATTAAGATTTCTCCAAACTGTTCGTAAAATGCATAAAAACTATAAGAATATTGAAACAATTATTACCTAATGCTATAATAACACATTTCTCCTATGCATTTTTCCTTTTCTGTATGCTGAGGCTTGCAAATCCCAATGTTTGCCGGATCAGAGTTTGTGAAACTGAGTCTCCTTTCTATCATGAATTATTTCACCCCGGTGCCAAACCCTGGCTCCACCTCAAAGATTGGTTAACAGAAACGCTACGAGTCAGACACAGTTTCACAGCTGAAATCATGGCTGTGCTGCTAATTCATGCCCAATGAACCACATAATAGCAAACCACCAAGCCACAGTGCTCATCGTACACTCAGCTGGAAGCCCAAATATCCTGAACTTATCAGGGTCTAACCCTCAAAAACTCAGGTCACCTGCATTAGCATTCAACTTTAGGCCAAAGAATAAGAAAACTTTGTGATTATTGTCTTAACTTTCTGTTTAATACCAACCCAAAACATACCCAGCAGTAGACTATCATTTAACCTACTTCCTGAACTCCTCCTCCTGGACTTGACCATCTGCATAGCGAACAGGCCCCATAGACATTGATAAATTAGATTGACCATAGACAGAATCCAGAAACTGCATAAACGCAAACTCAGATTTGAAAGCCTCACCCATAAGACGGACTGCCAAGTTTGCTTGAGCATCTGCCTCAGAATTGAGTTCCTTTTGGGTATACAACAAAGTCTCAGAATGTTATAAGCAGCCCAAATGAGGTGGTGAATTAATGGGATGGACGAGCATTTAACAAGAATTGTAATACAAACCCACAAAAGTATCGTAGAGCACAAATTATAAACAGAATCGACTTTACCCACCCTGAGAACATGACTGATCTCAAAGGAGAGAAATTTATCCTTCAGTTCCTTCACCTCTTCACACAAATCAGACATGTTCTGGTTTCTGACCCTCCATAACCCCTGCACCTGTTCCAGTAACATCACAGTTACACAGTTGCAGAAAAGGAAATAACAAATACAGAACGCCTGAAGCATCAAACACCATAAACACTGGATGGAAGGAAAGGCCCTTTGAGAAATTACAACACTGCACACAGTGTTTTAAGCTTAAAGACCCTAACAGAGCATATGTCAAATCAAATTTTCTTTTTCAAAATCAATAAGGACAACTTAAAGATGGTGGCATTGGCATCTAAAAACATTAACCAGTACCAAAATAATGACTGAAGGTGCAGCAGAGATCCCTGGAGTTTGATTAAAACCATTTTAAACAGAAAAAGAAGTTCAAAATATAAGAATCCAAGACAGAAACAGATATAAGGTAAACCACCCTTAGCAGAAGATAACAAAAATAATAACATACCTGCATACAGACGAGTTTGGAGTCACCTTTGACACGAATCTTAGTAAAACCTTTCTTAAGAGCATATTTTAGCCCCAGAATCAGAGCTCGGTACTCAGCAACATTATTGGTTCTAACACCCAGACCTTCATGAAGTTTACAGATCTACAGAAGAAGCATGGTCAAGGAGAAGATTCTTCGTGTGTTTTAAAATATGCAAACCCCGAAGCTAAAATGCATACCAAACTTCCATCATCAGCTCGCAGCACAGCTCCAGCACCAGCTAGTCCAGGATTTCCTTTTGATGCACCATCAAACTCAAGAGTACAGAAGCCCTAAAAATATAAGATGACCACCAAATCATTTTCCATTTCTTTTTTTTTCTTTTTTTTTTTGGTTATAAAACACAAGTGCAAAGAAATGATAATAATGTACAGAACTCCAGACTGTGAAAGATCACTAGAGAGACACCAAAAAGTGGGCAAAGGGGTTTATATTTATAGTATCTTTAAAAAAATAAAAAAATAAAAGCTTGTTTTCCAATCATCAGACATCATTGGCATTACAACGAATTCAACTTACAGAATCTAAGGGTGATGATTGAGTGGAATGATCTATCTTGACATGCTTTCTCAATGGATCATCTGCTATGGAAGGTGAACAAATTACTTCCTGCAAAGCATTGAAACAAGTAGAAATTAAAGCAGCAAAATCAAAATGCATCTGACGCACAAGGCACAGAATATAATCAACCTACAACGTCTTTAAGTTGTAGTTATATCATATTATACACAAACCAAAACAATTAACAATACAGAATAATCTGAACATTTGAATAGGGATAAACATGAAACAAAATAGAAAATGCCCAGAAACACACGAGATAAAGTATCTTTATTGTCTATATAGAAATAGAAACACTCAAGAATACAACAAATTTTACTAGTAGATAGTCGGAAATAAGAAAGTTAGCATTTCCAAGACAATTGTTCTTCATTTTCTCCAATGAGGGTATTCCAGTCCAGAGATAGCCATGATTATGAACTCACCAAATTATCTGATGCAGGCACTTCATGGGATCTCTTTTTGAGCGCATCTGTGACAGATGCTCCACCTTGCAAAGATGCTGGATCCTGAAGTGAAAAAGAAATAAATTATACTCCCAATCTATAGATAATTAGTACGAGATGCATGGAGAAGCAACTCAAATTAATTCAAAAACATATGTCCAAAAAAGCTTGAGCTCAGAATAATTATTACATTCTTCAACCTCAAAGTTAAAAGTGTCTCTGTTGCGCATAGTACATTGTTTATCTTACTCCAGAACATGCAAAGGAGCTGACAATTACTAAAAATAATCTATAATACAAGATACAAGCACAATCAACTGCTATGCCATAAAGGATAAATCTCACTGGTCCATTGGAAGCATATTTAGGAGTTGAATTTCAAATGGGGACTTTTGAAATTGAAATTGGAAGCCTAAATCTCACTAGTCCATTGGAAGCCTAATTAGGAGTTTAATTCCAAATGGGCACACAGTAAAAAATTTGCCTTTCTGAAATCGAAATCGGAAAACGAAATGCAGAGGGTAGCAAGTGAACTCTTACTTGAAAAGGGCAATGCATAAGCTTGCCAAAAATATCATCCTTCAAATCTGCAGCCGCGATTGTGTAAATGGCATTCGTGAGTCCACATGAACCAAGATACTCTTCAGTGTCCTTAGGCAAAGAGTATCCTTTGTACACACTAACCGGAGGATCAAATATCTACCACAATTCCAAACAAAAAAGAAAGAGTGAAGTGAAGTGAAGTTCAAGCACATTAACCCATTTAACCCAGAAAAAGAAAAATGTAAAATTACCGAAGAACTAAGCTGAGCCTGACAATCGCTGAAACTCTTATAAACACCAACAATATCTCCTTTGCGCACTACATAGAAGGCATCTTTTTCCAGCTCCACAACCGGTTCAGCTTCTGACTTCCTCTGTGAACGAGACGACGTCGTCTTGCTGCTGATGCTGCTGCTGGCTTTGCTTCGAGACGAGTAGAGCTGAACATGGAATATCGTTGATTCTAAGTTGATGCACTTAACCCCACACGAAAGGTCCAATTTTCTTTTCCACGAGCAAGGTCTGTACAGAAAACTCGTCGCCACGAAACGACCCTTCCTCCTGAAAATGGCGGTTGTGTATGACGAAACGTGCGACAAGCAGTTCATCACACACGCAGCGTCAGGATGGATTGTCCTGGTTTCTGAAACAGAGCCAGAAAGCCAGAGACAGAGAGATAGAAAAGGATTTGGGTTTGACTGGGCCGGCCAACTATCGGTTGTGGGCCACGGCCCATATGACAATACGACATCATTTAACGTTTTTCTTTCTTTTTTTCTTTTTTTATACAATAGATATTGGGAGGAGAGAATCGAACATATAGGAATCTCCTCTATAATTTCTGTCTGCTACGCTTAGGAAAGAATAAGGAAATAACGCAAAACCATTAACAAATTTAGGAGAATTTAGTACGATATTTAGATTCGAACTAATCGAATGGCATGTGTCTTTCATTGTGAGACAATTTGACATGTTATATTATAAGACTGTAATAATATTTGATTGAAATAACTGCTATGCAGGGTCTTGTACAGAAAGCCGGCAGCGAAGGGAGGATGTTTTGCCTATAATAATGTTTGAATTAACTGCTATATCTGGCCAAAAAGAAGTGGTGTATTATTGGGGAGAATAATGAGCTTAACTTGGGTTTCCATGTTCACAGTGGCACGGCACAACTACCGTATACTGGATCTAATTGAGCCAAATTGAATTCAATTATGCTTTTGTAATTCCTTGTTTAAGTATGACTATTAGAGGAAATTGAATTTATAAAATAAAAACATAAACACAACATGACAATGCTGAAAAGAGAACATCCCGAATGAAATAAGGAAGATTGCCACAAAAGGTTAATAAGTTTCAGGAAAGAATTTATTAGTATTGAAGCACTTTGTAGTGTTAAAACCGTCGCAGCCATTGCCATCAACAGATGTTCCAGAAGTAGTCAAAAGAACCAACAACTTGCAGAGGATGCCAATCTTATTACTTATGCCCTTGAATGACATGCCGTATCTAGCCTTCACCCGAAGAGCAAGCTGCAAGTCAATACTATAGACACCAGCAACTAGGGGCGAATCCACATAGGGGCAAGAGGGGTTGACCCCTGCAACCCCGGAATCCATCATTGGAGGCGAAGATGTTGACCGCTGCAAATTGCCCATAAACTACTTAATGAAATGCTCCAGAGAGCGCAACACACTAGCACAGCTGGCAAATTACCTTATTTCCATTTTCAACATTTAAGTAAATGAAGTAATATAAAATAAATGATTACTTAAGTTTACAATGTAAATAAGGAAGTACCCTCCATTTGGATTCAAATTAAAATACTAGAAAATCAAATTCCCACCAAATCAAAATATGAAAAATCAGTTTTAGCGCAAAATACGATTTAGGCTAAAAATGATGGCTCATTAAGTCAATATATACTTCATACTAAAATCCCATAAAATCAAGTTTTTTTATTTGATGTGTAAGGAATAAAAGCCGCCAAAAATTATCTTAAGAAAATAATTATTCTGAAAAATCATTTTTCATACTTAGCCAATATTTTTACATAAAACAATTACAATACTACTATACAAACAGGCAACATAGAAGAATAGGTAATTTTCTGACTTTTCTTACTCAATTAGAAAAAAAGGCCCATACGACAATACAACATCAATTATTTATGTTCTCAACGTCCACGTTTAAAGAACATCTACCGGGCTAACCAACTTTTGCGTAGAAATAGAAAGATAAGAAAATAAGGCAAAACCATTAGCATCATGTACTGATTCGAACCGAATGAATGACATGTGTTTTGTTGTGACTCATGAGACAATTTGACATGTTATATTATAAGACTGTAAACGGAAGCGTAACCTAAGGTTTCTAGAGAAGATAATCAACTATAACATGGATGGCAAGAAGGGGGAGGAGCATATTTCATTCATGAATTTTCACTTTCCAGTTTACAGTTACACATCATACTCATAGTTATGGTTTCCTTTTCTCGATCAAAAAGATTTACAATAGCCTCGTTACTGGTTGGTTAGCTATCTTCCTTTGTAGCCAAAGTAGCTTTTGCCCCATATTTTGAGAACACATCGTTAAGCACAGCCTTCTCCTTGACCTTTAACCTGCAACATGATCAACAAACTTAATGTAATTTTTCCATTAAAAGAAGAAATAAGAACAAATGAAAACTTCGGCAAAAAGTAGTTGATTACCTCTTGGCAGATCCCCCCACAGTCAATTTTGGAACCTTCACTGTTTTTTCTTTCACAGTTAGTTTCTTCTTAGGAGACCTTTCTGCCTTCCCTTTCACAACCGGCTTTCGGCGAGGAAGCTTCTCTTCTTTACTCTTGGAAAGTAGCTGCTTTGAGGAAGATGAATGTGCTAATAAGGATTCAGATTCTGTCCTTAATTCCATGCTATCTCTATCTCCACTATTTAGGTCTGACCTACTGGTAGAGTCCAGATTCTCTATGGCATCTTCCAGTTCTGGTCCCACGACCTCAACATCAGAGCCTTCATATTCATCAAGTATGGTCTCCTCCCATGTGTCCAGGGAAGAATCATCAAAGTCAGAATCAGCTCTCTGCATATTATCTATGGCATCAACCAGTTCTGGTCCAACAAGTTCCACATCAGAGCCGTCATATTCATCAGGTATGGTCTCCTCCCATGTATCCAGGGAAGAAACATCCAATTCAGCAACAGCTTTCTGACGTCCTCCCAGTCCAGAAACAGCTAGTCGAGGAGCAGTATGGTTATCTCTTGATTTTTCCTGCTCAGAATTCAGGGCTTGCAAATCTACAAACTCGCATTTTATCTGTTTCTGAATTTTACCAAATTGAACACTCTGAGAAGAGAACATTTCTACAAACCTGCCATGAGAGGAATGCCAATCATTTCAGATAATAGAATGCCAGCAAAACAATAAGATTTATCCCACTATGCCTAAGATCAAAAGGCAAATGTTAATATGCATGCTTGATAGCGTTCTCAAATCTCAATATGCATACTTGGAAGTGTGCCCTGTAACCTGTTCTACATTCATATACCACACCTATCCACATTCGTAGAACAAAACTTTTTGCACTTTCTTATCAATCACTGCCTTTTTTCATATTCTTATAATTGTTACCAGCAAAAGTTTTAAAATTTGAATTCCATTTCATAACTTTAAACATAAACATACCTAGTTGCATCCTGCTCAGACTTAAAATGAACAAAAGCAAAACCCTTGCAAATGGGGTCCTTAGTTTTCTTGTTTCCAGAAACCGCGGGGTTTATGCTAAGCAAACCAGGGACTAATTTGAAAGCTGCGCTCAAATCCCTATGTATGTTCTTCTTCTTCGGAAGGTTGAGCACACGAACTCTAACTCCAGCTGGAACCACTTCTTGAGCTGCAAATGCAGTAAAATTGAAGTAAAACATTCAATCGTAAATTAGAGAGCGAGTGGCTGAGTGTGATTTAGAGCCAATGAAGACAGACGCAGACCTTTGTTCTTGTTCTTGCTTTGGTCTTGCTTGGAATTAAGGTTTTCAGGGTCGTCTGAGAGCTTAGTGAGATTCTCAGCCTGCGCTTGTCTACTCTTCTCCATTTCTTCGAGCAGCTTCTCTTCAATTGAAATGTCGTACTCTTTGCCTTCGCCAAACCCACGGGGCTTCTTCTCCAGCCACTTCTTCATCTTCCCAAACGGCACAAACGTATCTTCTTCGTCGTCACCGTCGCCACCCAACTCATCATCCGAGCCGTCCAAGTCCAAGTCCAACTCCTCCTCATCATCATCATCAGAGTCGTCCATTTCTAAGAGCTCAACGCCGCCTTTTCGCTGCTTTTTTCTCGCAGAGACTCCGGAACCTCTACTTATCTGGCCATGGACGCCGTGAAAGCCGAGAATTGTGCGTTGGGTTTGTTGAATGGGAGAGAGGAACAAGCTGGTTTTGAAAATAGTGGTGAGGAGCGAAGAGGTTGAAGATGCGTGTGGGAAGAAGGGCAAGCCCAAATGGGTTTTGTATGGTGAGAATGAGAGGCCGGTGGTGGAAAGAGACTTGTAATTGCAGGAAGGTGAAAACCTACCGGTGCTTATCATCATTGTCGCCCAGCCTCTTCCTGTTCCCCTGTGCTTTCTGCGCTACTGAGCAAAATGAGTCAGTTCCTCCCCCTTTGATATTCGTCAATAATTCAGTTGTCTGCTTAGTATTAAAAATTAAATTTTGAAGAGACATAACAACAAGGTTTCGTGGTGTAGTTGGTTATCACGTCAGTCTAACACACTGAAGGTCCCCAGTTCGAGACTGGGCGAAGCCATATGTCTTTCCTTTTTTATTTTTTCGTTGGGATTTTCACTTTAGTGTTAGGAACATATTTGCATCATTCCCTTATAAGTAGAAGCTCCTGCAATTTTGTCAATAACAGTTTCATATGTGTCTAAATTTTGATTTGTAAGTATGAATTTCCACATTCTTGTCGATAACAATTTGACATGTATAAAAGTTTTTCTTCATTTTTTATGAATTTCTTTAGTTGAATTGTTGCTATTTAAGCCGAACTATTGTGTAAACAAAACATCAAGGTTTCGTGGTGTAGTTGGTTATCACGTCAGTCTAACACACTGAAGGTCCCCAGTTCGAGCCTGGGCGAAGCCATATGTTTTTCGAATTTTTTTTTTTTTCCGTTGAGATTTTCATTTTAGTGTTAGGAACATACTTGCATCCTTCCCTTAAAAGTAGAAACTCCTGCATTTTTGCCAATAACAGTTTCATATGTGTAAAAGTTTTTTTTATATTTTTTATGAATTACTTTTGTACGTGTCTAAATTTTAATTTGTAAGTATGAATTTCCACATTCTTGTTGATAACAATTTAACATGTATTAAAAAAAAATATATATTTTTAATGAATTAATTTTGCACATATGTCAAACCATAATTTATATGAATGAGGAATATCACCTTCCATGAAAGGAGGTGAGCAATATTTGGTGTTATGAATTTCTTTGGTTTAATTGTTGCTATGTAAGCCGAACTATTGGGAAAACATAACATCAGGGTTTCGTGGTGTAGTTGGTTATCACGTCAGTCTAACACACTGAAGGTCCCCAGTTCGAACCTGGGCGAAGCCATTTTTGTTGGACAAACTGTTTTTGAGATTTCACTTTGGTTTTATGGATTCTCTTCAATTGAGTCAGACTTTAAAATTAAAGTATTGCGTGAACTCAACAACATGGTTTCGTGGTGTAGTTGGTTATCACGTCAGTCTAACACACTGAAGGTCCCCAGTTCGAGCCTGGGCGAAGCCATTTTTGTCGGACAAACTGTTTTTGAGATTTCACTTTGGTTTTATGGATTCTCTTCAATTGAGTTAGTATTTAAAATTAAAATATTGGTGAACTTAACAACATGGTTTCGTGGTGTAGTTGGTTATCACGTCAGTCTAACACACTGAAGGTCCCCAGTTCGAGCCTGGGCGAAGCCATATGTTGAATTTTTTTGTGATTTTTTTGGAGCTGAAGAAATACAGCGGAGGCAATGATTTTTCACTGGGCTTGGTTTGGTTGGTCTTTCCTTCCTAACCAACCAATTGAAATTCAAGCCCCATTCACTTTTGCTGTTTTGAAAAGTTCATCCTTTTTTATACATAAATCCCATCAAAGTGCTTCTTCTTGTTCTACATTTTTGGTCAGACTTTTCCACAACCATTCACTAAAGGCCCAGCTCCTTTTCTAGGTTTGTCATTTCTCAATCCATCCGAGCCCAGATTCATCCTTGTTTGACAGGTTATTGAAGATCATATCTTAAAAATATATGCTAACGGAATCTAGCTCAATAAAAAAATGTCTTAATTTGCAGAACTTTTATGCGTGTGCACTTATAATTGAGATGGGTTAATATCACAAAACGTCCCTAAGATTTACGAAACTATCAAATTACATTCTTAATGTTTTTTTGTGTCACTCGTGATCCTCAAAATTAGTATGTGTGATCACAAATGGTCTATGCCGTTGGATTCCGTCAAAAGCTCCGTTAGTTTGTTGGCGTGCCATATATATATATATATATCACAAAACATCAATGAGGTTCATATATCACAAATGATTTTTTAATTTATTGATTTAAAATTCATAAATTTTTGATTTCTTTTTTAAATCATTTATAAATGAAAAAACCATTTATAGAAGGATTTTAATCTTGAGGACCAGTTATGAACCCTAAACCCTTAGTTTTTTCATTTTTAAATTTTATGAATTTTAAATTATTTTTTAAAAACTCAATTAGTTTGTTGATGTGGCATATATATGGAGCGCACATCTACAATAATATAGTGTCACATGTATTTAAAATATAATATATATTTTTAAATTAAAAAATTAAAAAATTTTGCAGGGACCATTTGTGATAAGTGCTTGAACCTCCGGAATGTTTTGTGATATATGTTTATGCCACATCATCAAACTAATGGATTTTTTTACAGAACCTAACGGCACGGACCATTTGTGATCACACATACTAACCTTGAGGACCATGAATAACACAAAAAAACATTAATAAATGCAATCTTATAGTTTCGTAAATCTTAGGGACGTTTTGTGATAATAAGCCAAATTTAGATTAACGTTTGTATTAAAAAAATAATACTAATAATGCATTATTTTACACAGCACAAAAGTCAGCATCAGCTCATGGACCTGGGAATAGAAAAATAGAGCAACAGGCTCCGGAACAGAGGGGGCAAGCAATCAGTGCATGGTTTCCAATTCCAAGCATGTTTGTTGGCATTAGGCATTAGGTGAGTGAGAGCTATCCATCAAGTCTATAATCTGTAGTTATCATTTGATTGACATTTCAGTTCAACATATAATTATGAAAACCACATTTATATTTTATATATATATATATATATGAATATGACTGACACTCCAAAATACCAAATACTAACAACTCATTTGGCTTCAGTCCCAGATTCCTGCTTTTCTGTTTTGATTTTCTTTTCTTCTTCTTTTACAGATCTCTGTTTGGTCTTCCTTATCCTCTATATCCACCAAACAAGTTAGCAACTAGTTTTAATAATTATTATTATTTATTGTCTAATTGTCTGCTATCAAACATGACAAGAACTCAAACCAGAGACAAGCCGGTTTTGTCAGTTGCATAACAAATATAAGCAAATTCTGAAAATCCATTGCCTTTTCGGCTTGTAAATTTGGGATTATATTTAAGTTAAACTTAATTAAACACTACTTAATTAACTTGATAGGATGGGAATGAGCAATTGGGGTTTGTTAATTAATTTTGAGAGTCATTATAAAATGATTTACTGATTGAAGATGCATATTCCCCAAAATCATGATCAGCTGCACAACCTAATATATTCAAAAGCTCAATCTCAATCTCAATCTACCCATTGACCAAAATGGCAAAAGGGGAGTTATGGGTCCTATTATTTATACATACTGTTTTTGAGAGTCTAATAATGATAAAAGTATATGGATAGGAACTGATACCAGAATTCATTTCAGCATCAATGGGTGGGAGTCTATTATTCATGAAAAACTCTACCTTCTTCTTCACTCTGTCTAACAAAAAGAAAGAAAATTAAAAGCAACTCTCTCCAATTGTCTTGTCTGAGAGTGGCAGATAATACAAGGAGAACAAATTATCAGAAGCTAAAAAAACAGTGCTGATCCCACTTCATCTTTTAACTAGCAATTAAATTATCATGATTCATGTCATGGGGCAGAGCTGGACAGACACAGCTAGCCCATCTCCTCCTCCACACATTGTTTTTTTTTTTTTTTATATTTAAATTTCTTCTTAATTAACACATTGACAAATTTATATAGCAAGTCATAGTTTTACTTTCAGGGTGAAGTCTTCTGACCTGTTGGATCATATAATATACAAGTATAATTTGTTAAGCAAATGCTGAACTGGGTTGAGTTGAGTGGGCTTCACCTTTATTAAAGAAGCGATATGGTATAAAAATGTGATAAGTTTAGCTTTATCCTTTTACGAACTGTGCCTCTTTAGTTTCTATTCTCACGTGGCAAATAGGGATGAGAATTCTACCTGCCATTCGAAGGCATGCAGTATACTGAGACTGACCACCTAACAGTCCTCATACTAAATTTCATCTCTTCTATCCAAAAATAAAAGTGAAAAATGATTGCTTTTAATTTGGATTGCGATGTTCAATTAAAATATGAATAAATTAACTCCAAAGTTTCTTGGGATTTTATTGAATTTAATGTCCCTTGAATTTTCTTATGAATAATGAAAGATAGAGATCCATCGACATATATAATCACATTCACTTGGAACAACCAACAAAATTCCCTCCACACATCAAAATTCAAATCCCAACTTTAAGCGCCAACATCTCCCCAAATCTGAACGAGGAAATACAGGACATGCGGAACACAAACTGGTACTATATATATGTCATATGAATCAATTAAATGTCCCGAGCTACCACCCAATGTTGAATGTGCAGGGAGTCAAATCACTCATAATGTGTAGTTGAGGAACACGGCACACCCCAACCACTCCGATGCAGTTTATGTCCTCTCTATGCTATAGTCATTTTCCACAGCGAATGCACCAAAAATTTGTAGCATTAATGAAAAGGGTTCACTTGACGAGTGTGCTTTTTTCGGTCATTTGATGCATTATGAAACTCATATACATCAATAATTGAAAACTTTCTGTTCGCATAAAAGTAAACAATTCCTAATCGAATCGTTGATGCATGCATTGTGAATCAAATATACATCAACAATTCAAGACCTTCCCTATAATGATGGTCAACGACATTTTATTTCAAACATTTCACATTCATGTGCCAACCCGCAGGCTAACGTTTGAGCCCCCTTTATTTTCTTATTGTTGTTGTTGGTTTGCAACTGGCAAGTAGGGTCGATGATCATACATTATATTTTTTGACTGTCAGTACTTCCCACCAGTCCATCCATTGACCAGTCAATAACCACATAACTGGGCTGACAAGAGATACCCGGCCCAACAATTTAATTACATTGGATTTTACCAGAAAGCAGCCCTCCGTTTTATTTATTTATTTATTTACTGGAAAAAGTAGCCTCCCTCCGTTAAGCCACTAGAATTATTCACATACACGGATTTGAACGGGACAGCTTTG